AAATGGTTGTCTTAGCATGGTGAACCAGTCAAGTTTCGCACTGAAAGATGACCAATCTAGTGGATGCGTTGTTTGAGTATTTTTTTTAAATCCTAATAATCGAAGAAACCGAACAACAACCAAACCGAAACGTTGTCCCTTATTTTTTTTCTCAGCACTGCATTTTTTTTTTACGTTCTCCCTTAATTTTATGGATAGGTAAAAAAGTTAGTGACCAAACCCGTTATGGTTCACCACTAGTGAAAAACAAAAAAAAATACTTGTCTTCATTTTTTTTTTTTTGATTTGAGATTCCGATGAGATCTCTCTGTCCATACGAGAACGCACCTTCATCTTCAAGAAACCTAGAGTTTTCGTATGGGCAGATGATAAAGAATTTTACTTTCATTTCGCCCCTTATGGTGAAAACCGTCTTACTCTTCCATCCAAACAAATACAGTCTCGCAGTATCAAGAGTAACTCCAAGTTTTGGTGCTATGAAGACCAGGTCGGTATGTTCGTAACACAATCTCAATAATTCTTCATTGTTTTCTTTACTCCACACACCTTGGAGTTGCTGTAGATTTGCTAAGCATGAGTAATAGTTCCTTCCCAGATTTGCTTGTCTTGGCCACAGCCGCATCGTCTCGATCTTTACAAAAAGACTACATATACTTCCTACTAACTTTGCAAAATTTAGATGCTAAATAGATCACAAAAACCGTAAAAGTGCAGTAACTGGCAAAAAAATGCGGTTAAACTCTTTTTCCTCACTGGAAGAAATCCGAGGAGGATGATAACAGTTCAAACTATGATAATCATATGTTGAACATTTAAAAAGATATTAGATTCACTATCTCAATTGTACGATCGCCTATGCATTCTATTTTAGATATGCGTAGATTAAACTTTTTAAAATCATTATCATCTAGAATGCAACTTTGTCTTTCTTCAAAACGATTGTCACTTTGTGAACCTCTTTACAAATTTGTTTGCAAAGAGCAACAAACTTTCAATGGCTTTCTTTGTAGGAGAATAACCATAAAAAAGCTGTCAGAATCTATGTGAAAAAGAGTCTTAACCTCATAAATGAAAACTCAAATGACGAAATAATCAACTTTGCTGAATTTGAAATAGGAGACTGATGCACCACATTCCTTTATTATTTTTCTAAATGTCAATCCATCTTCATCTTCGAGAAAACCATAATTCTCATAGGAACATATATATAATCACGAACTTCACTTTCATCACGCCATAAATTGTGAAAATTGTTTTTAATTTCCATCCCAAAAGCTCCAATCTTACAAAACAAGCATCAATGGTTACTCATAGTTGAGATGCTATCGAAACCAAGTCTGTTTGTTCACCACACAATCTCAACAATTGTCGCTCGTCTTCTTTGACATTAAATGGTAACGGATTAATATGAAGAATCAAAGATTTTGTGTTACCATTTGTTAAATTTGAAGAATGCGATTAATTTTTACTAAAGGAAAAAAGTTGTGGAATCTTTACTAAAAGATTTTGTGTTACCACATGTAATATTTTTAAAATTTTGATATGTTTGTAAGAAAAACATTGTATGCTATATATGTGTAATATGATATATAA